CAGAGTCCTACAGAATGCCCTGGTACTCCTACCACTCTGTTGATGTGATGCTGTTGTTACTAACAGTTGCACTATTTGTTTTGTTAATTGTTGCTGGGTTAGTATGGTCATGCTTTAGATTGTGTTGTAAAAGAAAAGTCAAATCTGACTAAACAGGAAAAAAGGAATGATCATTTTCACATTAGTTCATATTTTGCTATGTGACAGCTAATACAGCTGTGATCAGTTGAATATTGAAAGGAATAGATGTTTTCCCTGAAATGTTACTCAAAGTTTCGAAAAGAAATGTGTACAGTAAAGAAATTAAATGTCATAACCAGTTTGACAGGCAACTTGCAAGAGCAAAGTCTGTGTGATTACAAGTCATTTTTGTTGATATGTAAGCACCTGTGTACACATTTACTTGTGTTTCTAACAAAGTGAAAGTCTGAGAACCCACAGCAAATGCAAACTACCATTGACGAGTACAGTAGCTGGATGGCATGAACCAAGTTACAAATTCCAACTCTTCTATACTCTGTTTTACTGTGTACTACATTATCCTAAAATCACATTGTTAAAGGAAGGATTTCTGAAAATAGCAGTTCCCATTGTTAATAAAACAAGCTGACTGTAAAACTGGACTAGTTAAATGTACTTTTATTTCTTATTTTTTTTTCCTGAACCAGCTTAGGTTTGCCCCAAAGAATGGCAAACCTCTAGGTTTGATGAATAGGTGTGTTTAAAAATAATTAGGATTTGTCGATACCTTTCCCAGCCAGCAGGTGATGGTGTTTAGCCATTTACAGTATTTCCCTATCCTGTTAAAGTAAAATACAAGCTATTAAAATATGACATTTTTCAGAAGTCAAAAGAACACACACCAGTGCATTGTAGGCCACATAGCAAAACTAGCTGGTCACATCATCACAGCATGTTGCTATAGATTTGTATAGGGGCCTGAGTTATGGAATTGCAACAAAACAATTTATATTGACATGTTATCACAATTGAAACCTTTTACATGACTAAACAGTTGACACACAGGAACATAATCCGGCTTTATTCAGTTATTTAGTTTTCAATAATTTGTCGTGTTACTGCTAATTGCTTAAGAGTTCAACACCTTGGACAGCTTTCCCTCCCCTTTGCACTTTCTTATCACCTGTGTGTTTAAGAACATAACACTGATGTGTACCAAAGTCCTGCTCAGGCTGGAGCCAGAAAGCACTAGCCAGTGTTCTGCTCTCTTGTAAAGGAGAATATTGAATAAAACACATTGGATGCCAATAAGGTAATATGTTTTAATATTTTGCCAATATGACTGATGGCTATCTATTTGAAATAGTTTTTCCAAAAGTACATTTTTAACTGACATGCAACAGTTCACAGTTTTCCGTGATGAAACTAAATGCAACAGGCTACTCATACTCCAAAATGATTAAAGGAAAATAAATGATGACAATTTAAAACTTTTTAAAGATTAAATATTTTCATTGACACTGAAGTAAACCTTATTCAGTATAATTCATTGATTGTAGTGGTTTGATAAAAATATAAAAAAATATGCATTTGCTAAGAAGCAATATGTTTCCTTCCCAACTTCAGAAAAAAATGCATCCTTCCTGGGTCTGGATCGCTCTCTGCTTGCTCTGTCCGCCTGTGATTTATGGTGGGAAGGTTCTTGTTTTTCCATTGGACGGAAGCCACTGGGTGAACATGAAAGTCATCATTGAGGAACTACATTCAAGGGGCCACCAGGTTTCTGTTGTGCGATCGACAGACAGTTGGTACATCAAGGAAACCTCGCCATTCTATACTTCAATCACGCTCGATACGGAATCTGGATTTGATGAAGACTTTATAAGTACTTTTGTGACCCAGTTGCTGGAAATCCAGAGGGAAGGGAAGTCTGCCTGGACACGTTTTAAACTGGAAATGGAACAAGCACAACAGACCTCTCAGCTGCATGAGAAAACATGCAAAATGCTTGAGCTGCTTTTTGAAAACAAAGAACTTATACGGTTGCTACGGGATGCCAATTATGACCTCGTCCTTACAGACCCTGCTATACCAGGGGGTGTTATACTTGCCCACTACCTCAGGTTGCCTCTTGTTTTCAATGTCAGATGGACTAGTCACGGTGAAGGCCATTTTTCAATTGCGCCTTCTCCTGTGTCTTATGTTCCAATGACAGGGACCGAGCTTTCAGATAAAATGAGCTTTCTTGAGAGACTTCTTAATGTTATCATTTTTGGCTTCACAAAATATCAAATTGCACAGTATGTTTTACCAAATTATGTCAGCTTAATTGATAAATACATAGGTCCAGATAGAGACTTCATATCCCTGTTTCAAGCAGCAGACCTGTGGCTCATGAGAGTGGACTTTGTGTTTGAGTTCCCTCGTCCCACCATGCCTAA